GCCCTCCCTCCGCCGCACGCTCACCTCCACGCTCGTTGAGGAGAGCGTTGCTGACGCCGCCGCGCTAAACAATTTTGTCGCGTGATGAGACTCACATTTAAAAAAATAGAAAACCCTTCAATACGATGTCAGATGAAGATAATTTTTATATGTAAATTATAGACCTCGATGAGATCTACAACTTTATAGTTTTGATTTTTTTTCATTCGAGGACAGTAAGATGCTCGAAAAAATAATATAAAATTTCAGCACCATATTTTGTCGTGTGATGAGACTCAAATTTAAAAAAATAGAAAACCCTTTGATACGATGTCGGATGAAGATAATTTTTATATGTAAATTGTAGACCTCAATGAGATCTACAACTTTGTAGTTTTGAGTTTTTTCATTTGAGAACATTAAGATGCTCAAAAAAATAATTTAAAATTTCGGCGCCTCCCGAAAATAGAAAACCGCTTTTCAAACCAGCCGAGGACCAAAGTTGTCCGGTTTTGATAGTTGGAGGGTGTTTCTTGACCGGTTTCATAGTTGAAGGTTGAAAATCATACTTTGGCGCAAGTTCAGGGTTGTAAAGTGTACTTTACCCTATAAAATATTGCCTTCGTTGTCCTTGGCAATGGCCAATGGGGTCAAGCAGTACTATACACTCCATTTATTCATGACAGGCGGGCCGGATGACTGCTACTGCTGCCAAAGTTTGCTGACACGCCGTGTACAAGCGGACGAGTAGTGCATTGTTTTTTTTCCCTTTTTTTCAAAGAAGGCAGGCAAAAGGTTTTACGCAACACTTATTTTTGTGATCAGAAAAAAATGTACAACTTGGGGTGTTCTCCTGAACAAGTGCTCCTTCAACAGTTAACACAAGTCAAGAGCTATCTTGTATTAAAACATGCTGAAGTTTACTAGCTACTTTTGGCTGTGGCTGCACACAGTCAACAACTTCATATTGTAAGCTAGGCTAGGAAACAACCACAGTTGCAGGCTTGCAGCAGCCCATAGAACAGAAATGACCAGGCTGGACTGGAAGCATGAGAGCCATGGTTCTCCATAGTTCGATTTTTTTTTACTAGGCTAAGATAAAAATGAGACTACATTCAGTTCAGATGATATGTGGCAATAAGATTTTTTTCCTCTCTCCTTGTATTGTATTGTATTTGTATCGTAGTCAGTTTTTCTCGCGACACGGAATGTACTAAGCATTCAGATGAGACCCGGTTTCATTTTGTTTTCTTGTTCAGCTGCTAAAAATTGGCCACCACATCTGCTGGTGTGGATTGAGACATGGATGAGGATTACTGATCCAGTTGTACCTTGTTGCGCGCGTAGGGTTGCAGTTCCTTGGTGGTTGTGGCCTTGTGGGTGAGATCCATAACGTACCTGGCGTACCTGTTGGCGGCGACGTACTTCAACCATCATAAGACGGATCAAGACAACGGAGGCCGCAGCATGTTATGCGAATGTATCCATGTTTACTCTTCTACTTTAATTAAAATGCTGTGCAAATCTTAAACGTATTCGAGAAAAAAACATGTTTATGTTTTTGATGTATTATATAGTCCACCTTAAATAAGAGATTTAAGTCAAATGTGACCTCTTAACTGTATATATAATAAGGTGCAGCAAAGATAGCTTCCTTATTATCTTTAGAAACATCATTATCTATGTAAACTTATGAGAGAAAAAAAATTAATTCTTTGCATGAGACTACCGTTATTTTTGTAGGCTAACACCGGTAAGTATCTTGCAAAATGACCAAAATATCCCTACTATACCAAAATGCATTTTCTCCAAATATATATACGACACTGCTTCAAGTGATATACAAAAATGTAGAAACTATCACATAGTTTTTTGGTTGAAATTACCTTAATACATGCTCATGCAATGCAATTCCCAATCAATCAAACCAATTCACAAATCACAACACGAGCACCCTTCTCATCAATCACTCAACACTAAATGGCGCTTTTGTCTGTGACACCGTACCTGCATGGGAGCAACCGGAGCGATTCTGAAAGATGTTGAGACGATGGTGGAGGGTGCCACGTCTTTAGAGTGTGACATAAGGTTATGTGCTCATCTTTGTACCCAACATTCTCTATCTATGTTACAAGATTTTGTATGGCCCCTCCCCCTTGGCCCTAGCTATCTACAATTTGATTATAATAATTCTTCTTGAGTAAGAGCAAGGCTAATAATACAGCCAACAAGCGGGCTGTAAGAATACTTGCAGTCTTCTCTTAGCCCACCCGTATAGTAGTTAGCTCCTCTTTATTAATACATAGCCCACATGTCTCTCTCATAAAGTTTCTTGGTTCTTGTGCCCAAACCAGTTGTAACCTTACAGCCCACTTGCCCTCTCTCTCCTTCCTTCTCTCCTCCATGTCAACATTCAGCCGGCTTACATCCTGCTATTATACTTACTCTAATGAAGAAGTGAGATTTACACACACACAAAATTACTCAGCACTAAATAAAGTGAACTATATATTGCAGATCTCGATATCATTTCTCGTATCGCTACCAGTATAGTACTAGTATTACCTGTGACCACTGCCACTAGCGACCACTGATTTACGGTCAGATCGTTGATTATTTTGATTACTGTATAGTACACATGTCGTCTTGGTCGCTTGTCGGTGTGGCATTTCAATGTCGACATATATGGAATCTTTACAAGCTATTGGGGCAATAGATACGTGATCACTTATAATTAATCAACGTTGTCCACGTGGGTTTCATTTCTATTCATCATTTGGTCAGCTAGTATGCGACTTAATAAAGTTGAATTTGAACTTCCACTTGATTTATTTTTTTTCTTTCATAATCATGTCCTACGTGTGGGCCAATAATGCATGCTAAGGTGATAAGGTTGGAATCTTCTTGTAGGGTATATATATACTACCGAGATATAGGGTCTTCTCCGTATGAGTATTTAATCTTGTTGTTGCATATATATGCTTAGTTTTTTTCTCGAAAGATCAAAAACCAACGCCCACTGCTTCAGGGACTCGACATCTTCTGTAGACGATTTACTGCACGTTATCAAGGCGCTGGCAGAGCTTTGGGTTCAAGCCGGGGCAAAACACTTAGGGAGTCTAGCGTCCGCGGGGGGTGGGTGGGGGGGGGGTTAGTCCTCTACCCACCGAGTTCATGGGAGGTAGTCCAAGATGTAGCCTCACGAGTCACGAGTCCTGGCCTCGGCCGGGTTTTTTTTTATTTGAACTGCTTCTTCTTCTTTAATACAATGATATGCACACTCGTGCATATTTGAGAAAAGAAAGATCACAAACCAACTGGATCTACAAGCACAAGCTACATTTGATACATGTCCAATCCCTAAATGATTGCTTATCTGTGGTTTGGTCAGTAGGGGACGACAATAAACGCCAAAAAAGAATCTGTTAAACAAAGCCCGGCTTACGTAGCTAGCAACTAATACCTGCTCCGTCCTACAAAACAAATGACTCGAATGCAGTACACGCCAAAAGTGTGAACATGACACGTACATCGTCCGTAGTTATCGCTGAGACCCATGTGGGTAATTAGGGTTGCGACAAGGATGACCATTAGTTGTGTGTGGATCAAATCATGGAAGATAATAATATATAATATAATAATATAATCTAGCCTCTTGTCTCGAGCCCGGCAGAATAAGGATGGCCAGCCGGGCCGCACGGCACGGCAGTGGCATTGGCACGACCAGGCACGGCACGGCTGAGCACGGCACGACCAGGCACGGCGGCACCGCCGTGCCGTGCCTGATAGTGCCGCCGTGCCGAGACCTCGGCCTAGGCACGGCGCTAAGAAGGATTAGCCGTGCCGTGCCGTGCCCATCGGCACGACGGCCCGTCGGTACCGTGCTGGCACTAGTCGTCCAGGTGGAGTTGGAGCTGCTGGAGAAGAAGATGCGCCGCCTCCGTGCACTGCTGGAGAAGAATAATCATGTTTTATTAATCAGATAGGCATCCTATCAACAATGTAGGAGCACGAGCAATTCCTGTCTCACCCCTACCTTTTAGTTGGACCAGTTCAGGCATTCTGTGCTTAACTGCTTATGAATTCCATGGTCCCGTCCAATACTGACTCTCAAGTCTCAACCGACTTTGACAAAACTCCGGCACCCACAAACTTTAAGCTGAGGTACTGCACCAGATACTCTATGGGAATATGCAACTACTATGCAAGAGGCAAGCCACTTAATTCAGAGGCACTATAAACAAGCAGAGATCTCCAGTATCTCGTGTATCCCAGACTGGACAGAAAGATGCAAGCCACTTCATTCCAGCTAATCACCAGCCAACAAACACAGGCACTGCAAGGCAATATCTCTATCGCACTAAATTTCAAAACCATTTTATTATCAACCAAAACCATCTCTTCCATATCAATATCTTCCCGTCATCTTACATGCTAATATTCTACACAGCAACTTCCTAGCTGTGCTCCACAGAAATGTAATGTGCTCCCATACATATGATCACCTCACCAAACAAATGTAACAAATGTGAAATTGGGATTTGGATATACACATCATCCCATCTACTCCCTCCATCCCAAAATAGATGTCATTCTCGCTTTCCGAGAAGTCAACTTTGTTCAACTTTGACCAATCATAAATTAAAGAGTATTAATATTTATAATGTATAAATAGTATCATTGGATAGATCTTTGAATATACTATCCAAAGAAACTTGTTTGGAGGTATAAATATTGCACGTATTTTCTACAGACCTAGTCAAAGTTGAGAAAGTTTGACCGGCACACATCCCATAGCGACATCTATTTTGAGACGGAGGGAGTACTCCGTAGTATACAACATCAAGATATACACTTCTGCTCAAAGTCAGTATCTGCCTCGGACCTGCAGTACCCACCGATTACAGTACAAAATTTTGACCTCGTTCTTCAGCCTTCACTTCTGGATGCCAGTCAATGACCCATCCCCATCCACACCATGCATGCACTGGTTTCCCCCCATAGCTACACTTCAGGTCTTCTCATCGTACAAGCATATCTTGTGACTGTTGCTTCCATACATCACAAGGTTCCACCTCAACCTGCACAAGGCCACACGCCTTGTAATTCTAGTAAGAACAAATGTACAGATATAAGAGAACTGTGCTATTATGCTCTTACGCATTTTTTTAACACCCTCTAAGAGCAAATCATGATGTGTGTGTTTTAAAGCATAGGCAAAATATTGAATGTGAAAAAAGAAAACATTGCATTTAGATCTGGCAGCACATAAATAGCTTAATAGAACCACAATTTTTTCTGAAGCAAATAGTATGTAGTGTTTTTAAGTAGCACATCAGGAAAGACACCTAAACGAGCTGGTGAACACGAGATTATCATTTGTGTAAAGCAACCAGGGGAGCAGTAGAATACCTTAAATGGTTTATCGATCCACTGGAAAACAGAGCCGCGTGCCTCAACATTTTTTATCATATGAGGAGGCATCATGGATTTAAATGCTTCATGAAGCTTCACTTTCGTCAAACAACCACAAAGCATAAGAGTAGCTGTCAAGCCATTAGGCGTTATACCCGCTAAATGGACGATAGTCATGTTCTGCAAGCCAGATATGCTAGAAAGGGAAAGAAGTCCGATGTCGGTGACTGAACAATATGACAAGTTTATCTGTGATGAGACATAGATGGTATTAGCACAACTGGAGAACATACATGGTACCTTCAGATTCCAGTTACAGTTACAGGAGAAAAGGATAATACCTGATGAAGGCTATGAGAGAACTGGGAAAGGTAAAGCATTCCGACATCATTAATCTCAAAGCATTTCTTAATATCAAGCTTGGAAAGTAGCCTGCAGCCCATTGCTATTTCTGAGAGCCCAGTCGATGTAATCATGGGACAGCCACGAATCTCCAGAGTATTCAGCTTTGCGCATTTTGAAAGTGAAATCAGTGAACGGTCTGTTATTTCTGTACAGTAGGATAGATTGATAGACTCTATCATCGGACAACCCTGCGCAATTTGAATAATTCCATCATCACCAAGGCCTCCACACCTGAAACAGAAAATATAACTTAGTTTACTGACAAAGAACCAAACAGAGAAAACCACAAGGCATGTCTAATAATGACCTGTACAAATCAATGTCACGGAGTTTTGGGCAGGACCTTCCAATGTGGGTAAGACCTTCATCACTTATCTTCAAGCAAATGCCAATTTTTAGACTCAAAAGTTTGCTGCATCTGGCAAGAGCTTTCAATCCTACACAAAATACATCCAGGGTCAACTTCATGTTCATCTGGCAAAGAATAATTCAGTAACCAGTTCAGGATTAAGTACCTTCGTCATCCAAATCACTGTCAGTAAGGTCCAACTCTTCCAAGTGAGAACAGTGCTTCCCGATCAGTTGGAGTGCTCCACTGGAAACATGGCTACAAGACTCCATCCTCAGAGAAACAAGGGAAGTGCATGAACTAGTTATGGCCACTAGTGAAACATCAGTGATATTGCGGCAACAAGTAATGTCCAGCTTCAGCAAGTTCTTTAGTCTTGACACGGCAAAAGAGAGTTCTGTATCCGTCACTCCAGAGCACTTGCTCAAGTTTAACTCCTTTAAAGAAACACAAGAGGTTCCAATGGCTTTTAGTCCATCAGCCATGAATTTGCAGCCTTCCAGCTTCAGGGTCCGCTATTTAGGAAGCTTCTCACCACAGAAGGAGTAAACTGATACATGAAGGATGTAAGTTAAGCTGTGAGCGCTCAAGTTATGCCTAGGTGATAGAATAATACGACTAGATGATTAGCTACTTACAGGACAACAGAATGAAAGATCCAGTTCCAATAGATTGGGTACCGACTTCAGTATGGATGAAACTCCAACATCAGTGATATTCTGACACTGAGACATATCAAGAACCTGCAATGGTAAAAGCACGCGAGTTCAGTAATAAGCGGAGCTTTGTGCTACTATCAAACACTTTGTTTTGTGAACTATCAAAAAATACATATTTTAGTACAAGTGACTAGTTCAGACAATGCATTTACAGAGTTCAGAACCTAACAGTGTAAGATCAAGCAGAAAATGCTACATAGTGTTTGAAATGAAGGTGATGGGTGATTGCCAGTAACAAGTAAGTCAACAAAAATGGCAAATCACCATCCATGTCCATGAGCACCCACCTGTAGTGATTTACTGCACTCTCTCTCAAGACTACCAAGGGCAGCGTCATCGATTCCAATACACCCCACCAGTGTCAACTCTTGAAGATTGGGTAGCTTGATGATGGCAGGAAAGCTATCCTTTGTGATTTGCAACACAAGATACGTTTCCATTTTATTATTACTCCAGCACAATACAATATAAGTGGGTGGTCGGTAGGCACAAAACAGCAAGAGGAGAAACTAGAGTTGGCAACTACTGCTCTGCTGATCCATTGTTGCAAAGATGATTTGTCATGTTAATAGATAAGAACGTCTGCAGATCAAAGAATACTATATACTACCTATACAATGAAGTGGACAAGTGGTCCAAGGCCCTAAGCTAAGCACTAACTGAATAAATTAGATTAGATTGAGCAAATGGTGTACTAGTAACTGATGAAGGTAGCAGATTTAGCAAAGGGAGGCCATTTTGTTCGGGTGAATGAATTAAAGAGGGAGCCTGATGATCAAAACAAGAAACGCACTAGAAGCAAACAAAGAGGACAGAATCACCCATCGCCTTTGGTCCAAGAAACGAACAACAGAGCAACCAAGAAACCCGCACAAGGCTCACCATGGTGTAGGAGAGATCCAGGCTGACGAGCTTCCTGCACTTGAGCGCGAGGAGCTGGACCCCGAGATCCGAGACCCCAAGGCACCACTTGAGCGAGAGCTCCCTCAGCTCCGCGCACCCGACGGCGACGCCCCGAGCCCCATGTCGGTGAGCGGCTTCCAGCGCGCAAGCGAGAGCCTCCGGACTCCGGAGTCCCTTCGCCCGCGCGACCTCGACGGCCGTGGCGTCCCCGAGGTCGACCCCATTGGAGAGGTCGAGGTCCGCGAGGCCCGGGCACGAAGCGGCGAGCGCGGCCACGCCCGCCGCGCCGAACCCGAACCCGCGGGAGCGGGACAGGTCGACGGCGCAGAGGGCGGAGGCGGAGCAGGAAGGGGAGGAACCAGAGACAGCGGAGGCGATGGCGGCGTCGGGGACGCGCGCGCAGAGGGAGAGGTCGAGGCGGGTGGCGGAACGGTACCGCGCCAGCGCGGCGGGGAGGAGGTCCGCGCGGAGCGGGCGGACGACGCGGCGGTGCCGGGACTCCGCGGCGTGGCAGGCGCGGGAGGCCAAAGCGAAGGACTTGAGCGCCCGTGGGTCGGCCTCCGCCACGCGGTCCAGGATCAGGAAGAGCAGCGAGTCGAGCGGCGGCGCCGCGGCGGGGGTGGGGTAGGGGGAGAGGGAGAGCGCGAGGCGGCGGCGCTTCGGGTGCCTGTGCTGCTGCTGGTGGGATGCCGCCGCGGCCATGGGGAGGGACGAGAGAGGGGTGGGATGGTCTTGGTGGCTTCTTGACACGGCGGACGACAGGCGGACGGCGGCGGCGGCGGTCTCGGTGGCTTCTTGATCCGGGGAGGAAAGAAAATGGGGAAGCGGCCGGCGATGGATGTGGGCAACAACAAGTCAAGAGTAACCAACTGAGATGTGAGGAGAGAAGATGGGTGTACTCGGCGGGGGCAGAATGGGAAAAGAGAGATTGGGAAGTGAGTCAGGTGGGGAGGGTTCGATGCGGGGGAGGGGAGGACACCCAAGGACTGCAGATCGTACAGTCTGGTGGTGCGGACGGGTACGAAACGTCAAAGCGAAGCGTACCATGTGCCTTTGTCTACCCGTGACACAGACGTGTGGCCCCGCTCGCCCCTCACTTTGGCGGCATCTCGCGAGACACACCCTGTTCGCCAAACCAGCCACGCAACAGTGTTTTTTCTCACAATAAATCAACACCAGTCAGTTTAAATCAGCCCAGAAATCAACCAGCGAACAGACCGAGTATGAAAGAGACGAGTAGTACTAGTAGTTGCTGACTGGTCCTGTGCTCCCTGGGGACGGCTGGCTTTCCTTTCCCGTTCCGTTCCGTTCGGTCCGTGGTGTCTGTGCCGGCGACACGCAATCCCTTCCGTCGTCGTGTGTGGGCCCCACCATGCACGTTGTTTTTTTTGCACTGTAGTATGTACGGATACACCGTTAGCGTCCACATGGACAGTTGCAAATAGCCATCACTTTGAACCGTTCTCACAAAACATTCGAGTGGGTTTTTTTAAAACATGTGGCAGAGTTGCAAATATTAATAAATATTGCCATCATGTTCAGTTGGGAACCTAAGATTTTTTTTTAATATAGGATATGATGAGGTATCAAAAAAATTACATGTAATTCGGTAAAATTCATTTACAAACCGGTAAAAAGATTTGCCCCCAAAAAATAGGTAAGAAATTACTTCATCTATTTTAAATTATAAGACGCTTTTGAGTTTGAAGGAGCCTTATCTTCAATTATCACTCTCTTGTACGAGTATACCATAAATACAAGATTCAATGAGTTGTATGAAGTAACTAAAATTAGCGATGCTACGCTTGATTTGGAAGAAAAAAAAAGTTGTTTAGATATTGTACTGCAAGGAACAGAAATATTATTAGCATACTAGTGTGTGAAAAGCCACATACCTAGATATATTTATAATAATTGGGAAAACAGATTGCCGAAGATGTGGACACATGAAGAGAATGTTAGGTATTTGTCAATTGGAGACCTACCTAGAGATGATTCCACTTCCACGAAGATGGAGATTACCTATGTGATCTCAGGGCCATTATATTCTCTGGGTCGAGCATCTACCGAAAATGTTTTCTCATGCACAGACCTAATAATTACCTAAATCATGTCACTTTATCCTTCTTTTCACGTTATCAATCTAGGCTAGCTATTTCAGTCTTTTTTCATAGTAAAAGTTATTATCAAGAACTAAAAGAAATGGTAAGGAGATGTATGGTATATAGATGAACCGAACACCATCTAAAGATGGCCGGTGAAGGAAGAAGGAAAAAATATATAATTTTACTTTTTTTTCTACTCCCTTAGATCCAAATAAATTGTTAAGTTATTTTGGCCTTTCAAGTTATGTAGTTTTTGTTATTAAACTAGATAATGTTATGCATAGACACACAGTAAACACATACTTATCCAGGAAAAAAAAAGTCAAGAAACCTAATAATTTGGAATGGAAAAATTACTTTATTTTAGTGTTGAGGACCGCAAACAAATAATAAATCTAGAAGTACTAATCATTTCAGAACCGCAAACAAGAGAGAAAAAAAAGAACTAGAATAAACAAAAGAAACTGTAGGTGTCTAGCTGACGTTGGTGCGGTGCGTCGTGCCTTTGGTAGTGCCGAGTGCGGGTGCGGGGTGCCGTAACCAAGGGACGCACGGGGTGGACCTGGACCAGTTCGATTCGATCGGTTCCACTCACTCAATGCAAAGCGTCGTCCTGTCCGGTCGCCTCACCCTGATAAGTACTCCACTGATAACCTCTCCCTGGGAACACGTCGTCGTCATTACCTACAATATCTGGCTATCTGTATCTTGCTGGTGCACGAGACGAGCATCAGCTCACTCATCATAGCCTTTGTGTTCCACTAAATAATAATAATAATAATCATAGCCTTTGTGTGCCTATCAGACAGCTGCACCTGCTTCGCTTTGCATCCTTTTCCGATCCGTTGAGTAATCTCCTGTTCTCTACTAGGGTCTGATTAGTTTAGTACAGCTCTGCTTCATGGTTTAGATAAGTTTTGTTGTTGTTCGACTACATGATCGAGTAATGACTATATATACTACTGGAGCTTAATCTATTTTAGTAAAATATTTAGTAGTGGAACAACTTTTGAGGGTTAACTAAAAGAGATGATGTGTGTCCACAACATCTTTTTTTTTCTTCCTTCATTTATTTCCGGTGATCATCTTCTTTCTCATCCTAAACTCCCTCGTCCTCCTCGCACGTCACGTCTCCCGCCACCAACTCCTGCACCGTGTACCTCCCCACCTCTGCTCCTGCCGAGCTTGGCCTAGCTCCCCACTGATCGCTTATCTCTAAACTTTGGCCTATGTCCAGATGATCTAATAATAATCTAATATAAACTGATGTTTATTTCGATTTACTCCCATGGATTGCTTAGCTGGAGCTAAAGCATTCACACGATTTTTTTTTGTAGCTAAGCATTCACATGAATTATTTTGTTGCTAAGCATTCACAAATTACTGTTCGAGTGTTGGTAATCCAATAAACTAAATGCTCCTTCAATTCAACTTCGGATTTTCAAGATTTTTTGAAGCTACATATACCTTACTCAAAAAAATATAACATATATATTGCTTAGCCGCTGGGAGCTCGGTCAAAAAAAAATTATGTACATACAATTCCTTCGTACTACGCTAAATGGCCAACTAATAAACATAACAAATGCCTGTTTAAGTAAAAATGACTTAACAGTCTCGCAAAAAAATGACTTATTAACAGTTAACACCATGTAACGTTTAAATTAGCTAAAGAGCTGCTTGGGCAAACAGTGCTGTAACTGAATGATCCAGCTTGGCAGAGCTGACTATTCCAACCGGCCTTAGTATTCAGCTGCATCAATTTGTAAACGAGATCGTGGCAAACACACGTATACTATGGGCAATGTTTAATGTTTTGCAAACAATTGCACTGTGATTAAACAATTACAGTATATATTTGATAAAACAGTCTTCAAATCTTGTAACATCTGTCATTCCCGCTCGCTACAAATGATTCAGATTCAGAGAGCCAAAAAATGGAGCCACACTGTATACCTGTATAACTATAACAATGCTATGTTTCTAAACGGGAAGAGTTCAGCTGCTGCGGCAAAGATAGAGCCTTTCAACTTTTGTCTGTCGCCAGAAATTTAGTTTCTCATTTCAGTCGCAGTGAGATTAGCAAGATTATTATTTCTCTGCACCGTCCTTTTCTTCTGAACTTCCCTTGAGGCTCGCAGACCTCACCGGCAGCACGCTGCGCCTCTCTTTGCCACCTGGTTTAGCAGATGCGTTTCCATACCATATCATCCCAAGAACAGCGAGGACCATCCCAATGACGACCTGAAGATTCAGGCCTTCCTTGCCAAAGAAGATAAACCCAAGGGACAGAACAAGCACAGTCTTCATGTGGCCCAGGACTTGGAAGGATACAGCAGAAAACCGCCCGATGCAGATGAATTGGCTCAGATTGACGCCAATGGCGATGAAGCATGATAGTACGAGGAAAAACTGCAGAAAAACCATATGGTAAGGATGCCATTCAAATTCAAAATTCTGGTCCACCAAAGGTTGGCACTAGGTGAAGCTATACATATAGTCAGCTAGAAGCTATAGCTAGCAGCAGTGAAATGGAGGAATTTCAGTCATAGTTACAAATGAAATCATTGAGCTAGTGTTAAAGTTTCTTGGATAGCTTATAAATTATCACTGTATTGAAAATTCTCAAGCCAGCTAAATGCAGCTTAATCACCATCTCATCTTTGAGCAAACAGATAAACACATAAGGAGAAGGATCAATCACCATATGAACATAGTGATAGAAACATTGCTGAGATTTTGTCCATACCAGAGCAAGAGATGAAAAAACGAAGTGATCCACCCTTTGCCCCGTCAACAAGTAATCTACAAATGGCCCTACCAGCAGGAGAGACCCTGCTTGAGCTGGAGCTGTGTGGCCCAGCAGGTTGAACGAGTTCAGAGAGTACTTGCGTTGGAGGAAATGAACATACTGCAAAAGAGCAGAAATTACACAAGAATCAAAATCATGCCCCTTTTAATTGGATACATGATAGGACCAAAGTATGTATGCAGTGCAAATAGAACAACTACTAAAAATTTGGAGTAAGGGCACTCAAACAGTGAAAAATGCCAAAGTAGGGAAAATAAATGAATTATGTGTTGCACGTGTGGCAGGTGGAGTGTTCTTTAAAGATTAAGCAGTAATATAATGAGGAAACTGAATCAAGCCTAACAGTTCATAGAAATGGGGATGAATGCCCAGATCACCCAGGTTCAAGTTCTCATCAAGGAGAATTTGGGTGCCTATTTTCTTCTTAATAAAATACCACCTAGTTTCTCCTAGGTTGGTCTAGTTTTTTTTAGTTCATAGGAATGGGAAATACTGGTGTCATGGTGAGTAGCTATATCCTAATGTCTAAACAAAGGAACAATATCCTAAAGAAGCAGAAACATCAATGAATGATAAAGTAATTGCTAATTGTTCCTAACTTTGCAGAATGACAGTCATAATAGTGCCATATTCGAATACTTAATCCTTTGAGACAGTTAGAAGCATGCAAAAGAACTTGCAGCTAATTCTAAACAGAAGCAGACAATCAGTTTTAGAAGCAATCTTAATCATGAGCTGACATATAACAAACCAGCAGACTTAAGGTGGTCCGACTTACATATTGTTGCAAAGCCGTGCTCCAAACAGCTATAACAGCTGCAATCAGACCTCTTGCATTCACACTGACATCAGTAACAGTGCAGACTGCCACTCCTATAAGCACAACCATTATGCTCAGCTTTGTGTCCCGAGAATAGTGTACATGATCAAAGACAACCTCCAGAAGACATGATGCAGGTATCATGCACAGCTTTGCTATCTGAGCAAGGGAATAGAATGTATTTAGTTGTTAACAATTTGAAGTCATGTATTAGTAGCTACAGAAAAATTCGCCAACCTGATAAAAGCCCACAGAGTTCCACATCAAGCTCACATTCATCCCAACGATCGACAAGTTTGAAAATATCACAAATTTAATTAGATCTGCTACTGGTAACTGGGAGGGCTGGCTCAGGCCTAACCACCGAAATACGATGGTCATCAAGGTGGTAGTCACAAAATGAAGCCCAGTTAATGTCGTGGCTGCAAAAAAAAAAAAGAGTAATTAATGACAAGGCAGGAGATATATCCAAGTTCCATCCATGCACAGTTTGTTGACAAGGTGCAGAAATATGGTGAGCCTGCAACTACCAAACATACAGTAATAAATTACATAATGCTAACATGTCTCTATTGCTTGTATTAACACCATTAAGGTTCAACAGATACATTAAATTACATAATGCTAACATGTCTCTATTGCTTGTATTAACATCGTTAAGGTTCAACAGACATATTAGCAAGCAAATTATACTGCAATTTTGTAGCACTTTATAAGTTTGTGTTACAATTATTCTAAGATCCTTAACAAAGGAAATGTGGAAATATTACAGTATACATTGGTATCTACAATCAAAATTTTATTCACAGAATGCAACATAGTTCAAATTTAGGCAGGAACCCCTTTCCTTTAAAAAAAAAACTTGGTAGGAAATTTTGCATTAGCACTGTTAAAACTACTCAAAGAGTCGAAGTTTACAAGATGTCTGTTTGTTCTCCAAATGTGAGCTCTCTAACAAAAATGTACATGAATCTACAATCAAATATGAACCAGAACCACCACCGTCATTGTTTTGTCCAAAAAGCCCATCACGATAACACCGATTTGTTATTCAAACAGAAACATGAACGACTACAATATTCAGTTCGATGTCTGACAAACGCATAACAAGATATGGCACAAGATTATACCATTCTATGGCCACAAACACAATCAAAATGTGAGAGTAACACATGTGATCAATAAATCCTCAGGTAAGCACAGACATACCAAAAGTGAATCCATGTGTAGCCATTAAAGCTTTGTTGACCATGATGATTCCAACAGATGTAGTGACATTGAAACTCCATGCTGCGAAATCCAGCGCAGCTTTCTTGTCAGATTTCTTCAGAGAACTCATGTCTGGTTTCATGGTTTCAGGCTTTCAGCTCAACACTCGCTTGCTGAATTACAATCTCGAAGAGACTGCTGCCATCAGATCCAGGAATCCAAGCTTTGGCCTGAAGAAGGTGAAGAAGTGGTTGGTTAATCATAATCATAACCGAGCAAATGTAAAGGGAAACACTGCACGAGATGACTGACTATACATTGACAAAAGTGTGGTGTGTGTGACTGTGTGTGCACCGATGTGAAATGTGACCATAGCAGTTCACCTAGTAAGCATGAATAAGAAGATGTACAGAGGGATGTACAGTTTTCTACAAGTCACATCATGTAATGCTATCTAGCTAAGGTGTCCGCACCCTACAGACTGAGCACCAAGATTAAGGGGCCGACGGCCTTGTAGGACCACAAAGTTTTGGCCGTGCTGAACATCACCGTGCATCTCGGAAAGGGGTCTGTTCCTGACTCCGGAGGTCTGGTAAACTAGCAGCCGGGTGCGTGAAAACTTCACACAAGAAGCATGGGACACGACTCCACCAAGCGAAGCTCCATCAGGTAGAAGCAGAACAAGCACTGCCTTCGTAGGCTCTAGCCTCCTCCTAGGCATTTTATCGAACAAAACCAGCAAGGGCCCGACCCACAGCGACAACACCTTTCTTTTTTTTCTTTTTTGAGAATCTCAAACTTTATTAACTAGTCTGAGAAGGAGCGCGCACTGCACTGCTTATGGGCTGGGCACTTTGTCTTCAAGTTTGGGAACTAATGCCACTGGGCCGGCCCAATCCATGGCCCGACCCATAACGGCCGTACCCGTCCTCGACTGTTGTTTTGTTCGTTCCCCCAAATCACCTGAACGAACGAATGAATGAAGAAGAACGAATAAGGGGAGGAGCGACGAGCTTCTTCTCCAACGCCGGCCGGCGGCTACGCACGCGTGGTGGCCGTGGGAGTGGAATGGAACCCCGTCCTCCCGGTTCCCGGCTAGAGAGTGCCACTCCCTCCCTAGTTAGATTCGAGCCGCGCAGCAACCGAGCACGCACGCACCCGTGGGAAAACCAGCGCCGCATGCTCCACACCCCCGTAAGAACAGAATCCCAGTCCCCCACCCCAGATCGAGCAAGTTCCACGGCAAATCGCGACGAGGAAGGGGAGGGACGGATCACCTGCGACTGCGACTGCGACCGCGGAGCGCGGACCTCCCCGCCGCACCGCACCGCACCGCGCCGCGCTCGATTCGGTTGCTCGGCTGCTCCTGCTCGCAATGGAGACGGAGATGGAGGCCGCCTGCCTGCCTCGATCTTGTCTTCTCTTCTCGCGGGGTGGGAAGCGGTGGTGGTGTGTGTTGTGACTGGCGAGTGTTGTTGGCCCGTTTCCCCTTTCCGCCCCTCTGCTTTAAGAATTTTTGCTGCGATGCGTATGCGTGCGACGGCCGGCCAGCCACAAAACAAATCTCGCAGTCAGTCAGATCCATCCGCCCCTCCGGCGCGGGGCTATTTATACGCGCAGCGCACTCCGCTCTGCTTTGTTTTGTTCTGTTCCATTTAATTTAATTTAATTTAATTTATTACTGGCTTGCTTCTCTTGGTTTTTCCACTTGGAGCAGGCAAATTCAATTCATACGGAGTATGTCTTCATACATAGGAATAATATACTACTGTGCTCCCTGCTGTATTTCGTTTTATTTTTTTTGGAAAATGGGACGTTTCTATTTTTCACACAAGTGATGATGATGAAATGGCCGTCGTACGTTTCCGCCACGTAAACGAACGCTAGAGAGAACGAATAGGACACCGTCCGAGACGAGAGTTGGGCTACCTTTTGGTGTGTCCCTGACAAAAAAAAAAAAAAACCCTACTAGCTGAGTTCATTGGAGAATTTATATATTGTAGCATCTTCTTCGTATATATGTCTAACATTTATATATTGGGCAACAAAATGTTTTAAAATAAAAAATCATATAAATGAAGATATGCTTCAGAAACATCGAACCGTTTCACTTTACCAAACGACCCCTTACCGTGCTCTGTTTGGCAGTGATTCAGTCAGTTTCTTAAATTAACAAACATTTCCACAGATCGAACACGTGATTGTAATTCTTCCGATAACACATGGGGTAGCTTGTAATTCTTAATACGATGTGACATTAAGCTCGAACATCATCATGCTGGTACTCAGTACTAGCAATTAGGCTGCCTAATATTTAGTAGTAGTGTGCTAGTACTAGTTGAATATATAAGCCGAGCTGCAATGAAATACTAGTACAATAATAATACAGTACATCCAAAAATTCAATTGTATTGATGAACTGCTATCATAGGACAAAAAATGACGAATTATTCCGGCCGTAGAATCATCAAGGGACATGCATGTATCACTAAACTGAAAATGGGAAAAGGATTATGTTTGATGTCTGCTTAATTATTACTGCATCCAATCTGGATCTCAAATTAATTAGAGGCTTTTATACGTGTGCCATTAAAAAAATTTGTAATTACACATAAGCCATTAAAAAAATTGACCACACACAGGTGCCACTGCCGTAAATTTCTTTGCCTTACAAGCCATTTCATCCGTGTTCTGTTTGTTTTTCGCCGTTTGGTGTGGGACCGGCCAGTGAAATTGTCCATATTACCCTTGGCGGTGGAAACCGACTACGATTCACCACCTCATTTTTCTCTCTCTGTGTTCCTCCTTGTCTTCTTCCCCTTGCGCGTCGTCAGCACCGCGTCCGGTGGCCCGGCCCTGCGCCCCCGGCACCTCCAGGCCTCGGCCCCACCCTTCGCCCCCGGCGCCTCTCGGCACCAGCCCCGCCCTGCGACCCCGACGGCCTAGCCCCACGCTCCAGGCCCCGGTACCGCCCTGCACCCTCGGCGGCCCGGCCCCGCGCCCCCGGCGACCGCGCACGCTCCAGGCCCCGCGCCGGCAGCCGCGCCCGGCCGCGCGCCAGCGCCTGCTCCCCGGCGACCCGACCCGCGACTCAGCCCGACGACCTCCCAGGCGGTCATGACGCCGTCGTCCGTCGTGGCGGACCCGGTGGCCTCGCTACTCGTCGTGTGGAGAGGGGAGTCGGGGCGCCGCCGTGCCACGTCCCCAGATCCGGCGGCGCCTGGCTACTCCTCACCCGCCTGGATCCTGTCACCGTCCGCGCGGCCGAGCTCCTAGTCATTCTCGTTGCGCCCCGTCACCGTCAACGCGGCCGAGCTCGTAGCTGCTCCACCGCGCGCCAACCTTCGTCGTCTCCTTCACCAGATCTGCCGCTGCGCTCCTCGTCAGCCGCGCGCTGCCGTTGCCGTCTGCCGTAGCCATACCCGGGCGTGGTCGCTAGCTCCAGGGTGTCGTCGCTGTCTCAGTCCCCCAGCCTCGTCGTGCACTCGCCACAGGCGCATGGCGCCCAAGATGCTGGATGCACCATCGGTGGGGATAGGAAGGGGAAGTGGACGCCGCCCGGGAAGAGCAAGGAGGTGCCCTGGTGGCCTCGCTGCTCGTCGCCGTGGAGAGGGGAGCCGGGGAGCCGTCGTTCCTCGTCGGCAGATCCGGTGGCGTGTGCTCCAGGAGGGTGGCCGCTGCGCTCCAGTGACGGGGGGGCCGCAATCCAGGGGGCGCGGGGCGCGAGTCCGGCGGGTGGCTCCAGGAGGTCGTCTGCGTCGCCTCCAACGGCCGCCGTGTGCGCCACCGGGAGGGAGGAGGCCGCGCGCCCGGGGAGAGCAAGGAGGTGCCCCGGCGGCCTAGCTACCAGATCCGGCGCCGGCACTCCTAGTCCGCCGCGCGCCACTGTCGCCGTGAGCCGGAGCCGTCCCCGCGCTCTCTCCCCCAGGGTTCTCCGTTGTTTGGTGTGGGACTGCCAAGGGTAATATGGACAATTTCACTGGCCGGTCCCACACCAAACGGCGAAAAACAAACAGAACACGGACGGAATGACTTGTAAGACAAAGAAGTTTACAGCAGTGGCACCTGTGCACGGTCAATTTTTTTAATGGCTTGTGTGTAATTACAAACTTTTTTAATGGCACACATGTAAAAGCCTCAATTAATTATAACCTGTCATATTATACCGCACGCCAAGCTGTTGCGAGCCCCTATATATACACACTAGTGAAGGACGCGCGCCATCGTGCGTGTAGGCAGGCACAAACAAGATTGTGAATATGGAGAATATATACGCCGCAGTATAAGTAATAAAGTGAGGACGTGCATATTACATATGTTCAAGGTAGCAAAGAGCCGATGATGGTGCATAAGTTTATGTTACATGCATTGTTAGGCGCTTTATATATTTGAATGCTGGTCTGTTAGTATAGAGAGGTCGCGGGTGAATGAGGTTGTGCTTTGCCAGGTGGATGATTCTGTTCATAGTAGCACATGCACTCGGTGTGGTGGCTGCATCCGATAAGTAGTCTGTGAAATAGAGTATAGTTGGTATGACAACGCTTTTGCCATAGATATGCCTCTATCATGGGGAAAGCCTTTTCTTCTAGAAACAGGTACCTCCATCTATACATCATCAAAGGGAATAATATGAGTGATAGATGGTCTGCACATCCAAATGGCAAAGGTCCAATTAGCTATATTCGATCATGTAAAGCTGAGAAATTGCCTTAACACAATATTATGACCAAGTACCGAAGAGAAAAACTACCTGATGCAATGCATGAAAAGATTATGTGAGGCTAAAACCATAGGAAGGCAGTGAGGGAAAAAGTACAGGTATCTTGGGTCCATCTCTCAAGCTGGTACTGAAGGTTAGTTCATAGTAGGACGATGCCTTTTGAAGCCGCGCACACCTTAACACTATATGAGCACCAAGCAATGGCAAACAACAACAGTGAAACACTTTAGACGTAATTATTAAGGTATTGTTGTACCTTTCTTTTTCCTGTATTTTCGATTTTGCGAACCTGGTAATTACAGCGCAGCTGCAACCTACCAATGAGTAATCTAATAGCATAACTAACCATTTGGAAGCCACAGACGCAACTATACTTGTCTGAACATCTACGGAAATAAATACATTGTATGATAATATGCACA